CCAACCCTAACCCTAACTCTAACCCTAACTCTAACCCTTACCCTAACCCTAACTGAAACCCTAATCAAAGACAGATGTTCTTTAACACATGATGTGCTCGTATTCATCCTCACATTCATCTGGAGTGTTTTTTTCTTTTTTAAACTCAATTTAACCACAAATTTGACCCAAAAACAAATTTCTTTTATTATTTTTATTTTTTACAACTTTTAAAATCAGTTTTATTTAACCTCATTTGTTTTGTCCTGTTCTTCATCAGTCAATTTTAAATGTTCTATAAAACGTCGGATTGAATCCAGAATGTGTGGATTTGACTTCAGCTTCGTAGAAACAACATATGAAACCTGAAATGATATTTTCGTTACACTTGATGTTTTATTGATAAGATGAAGGAAAAACAATTCACAATACTTAATATTCTAATTAAACATTTTTGAGGTGACACCTGATAAAAGTTTGACCTTCAGGAGCCGGAGCTGCTCAGTCTGGCACGTCAGTGGATTAGACGCTGGAGTCTGTGTCATGGATTAAAGCTCCAGTCAAGAAAACTGAGGCCTCGTCTGCTCTGTGGACACTGGCATGATATTATCTCACAGGAAGACCTCTTATAACGAAGTATTCAGAAGTATCTGCAGTTATTAGATTTGACAAATGTGACAAATCAAACACATTCACTTTTTACTCTTAAAAAAAAACAGTAGAAAACATTTTATTGAACTCGAGATACTGGAACAGAAACACACAAACTTAGAAAAAGAAAAATCACAAAACAAAAACTGAAACAACGTCTAACCAAAAACCAGGGACTGGTTTGAGTATCAGGTCAAACTGACGAGTGGATCCTCCTCTAAATACAAGAGCTAAAGCTCCCTAATAGAGCTGGAGGGGCAGCGGTGGAGCGGCTAAAGCCTCCTGACGTCAGTCTGTAACTGTGGAGAGTCCAGAAAGATGCTAAGCTGACTATATACATCAATTCGTTAGTTATAGTTCAACGCACAACTCACAGAACAGAGTCTAACAAAGTCACATTACACATCACATCATCATTATTACTCAGTGAGAGAGTTTCACACAAGATGAACTGATAAGCTTCAGATTAGGGGACAGAAGAGTCCAACAGAGAAGACAGAGCAGAACTGAAAACCCCCGACTCATGAGGGTTCACTTGTCATAAACCAACTTGCTCGTCAGTCTTTGTCAGTGGCAGAGTCAGGGGATTCTGGGGGAAGCGGATGGCCTCGCTGTTGCGTCGCATGTACGCGTGGCCGCTGATCGGGTACCACATCTCGGTGAAGGTGAGGTTGGCCACGGTGATGGCGCAGCGGCCCAGCACCTTGAAGCCCGACTTGCGGTAGAAGGGGACGAGGAAGTCTTCGCACATCAGCACCGCCCGGCGCACCCTGGGCAGGCAGCGGAGGTACTGCAGGTAACGCCACAAGAGGATGGGCCCTTTGCCCTGCTGCCTGAAGGTGCGGTGGACGGCGAGGATGTGGATGTGGACGGTGGAGCCGCGGGGCTTGTGGAGGGTCAGTGCGTCCTGGAGCAGAGAGGTCAGAGGTCAGTGGTGGAGTGGATGAGGTTTTACTGTTGAGGGGTGGAGACATGCAGGGGGTGTCTTACTGTGGTGAGTCTGTCCTGGTCCCACAGAGAGCCGATGATAAACGCCACCAGCCGGCCCTCCTCAAACCAGCCCATGGACAGCTCCGGACACAGCGTGAGGAAGTGACGCACCTCGTCCAGGTGGAGGGGACAATCACCGGACACTGAGATGAACGCTGAGAGAAAGAGAGAGAGGGGGAGGGAGAGGAAGAAAGAGAGGGAGAGGGAGATTTGCCCGTGCGCAAAAATGGTTTGGCACAACTATTACGCACCACAGAGGCGGCGCAAATTGCCCAGTAAACGTTACTGAACGCAGAATTTAAATTTTAAACACATTCTCACTGACAAGTACAAACAAAGAAAAATCTGTAAATGAATAAATTAAATTTAAAAAAAAAACAACAGATTTGTCTTCATCACTCACCTTCTCGCTCGATCTCAAACACGCTGATGGCATCCTGCGTGTTGAGCGGCCGGACCTCGCTCGCCGGGAGCGTGTGTCTCCTCTGGAGGCCGGGGGACACAGAGGGAGGAGGCTGCATTGGTTTGATGAAAGGCTGCGCGCCCACAACAGACATCACTCGAATCTCACAAGGGAAAAAAAAAAGAACCCCTCTTTCTCCTGGTGTGTGTGTGTGCGGCTCCGCAGGGGATCACCTCCGTCCGGCCCTGCGCGGAGAACAGGAAGGTTTGAGTCCGTATTTATAGGAAATCTCTCCTCACCGTGTTTCACCAGCTCATCTGCATTTGAATATTGGATGTCGGTGAATGAATGAAGGTCACAACTGTGTCCGGCAATTTTCCCAAACCTGCAATTAACTGTGTCCACTGTGGTTTGGTTGTTTGTCTCTAGACACAGTTGACAAATGGTTTTCATCCTTTTTTTTT